GTAGGCCGACAAGCTCTGATTTCATTATCCTTGACAGTTCAAGAATTCGATTTAGAAATTAAATTAACTGGCATAAGGAGGATATTTCAGTCACACATTTCTTACTTCCTCATACAACAAGCAGTTTACTGATTGTATTTTATTATATATCTGCAAATAATTCACATCTTCATGTACTGTTAATATATTGAAAGTGTACAGTCATCATATAGACAGAACCATCACAGAGATTGGATTAATTATTTTATCTTGATTCATTTTTAATAAAAAAAAAAAAAAAATCATGGTCAAGACTCTATAATGAAAAACCATTCATTTGTTTGTTTTCTTTGATTCTAAAGTTTCTTAATGCCGGAACTAAAAAAAAAAACAGGTTGATAACAGGTGTTGATTATTGGCACGTCGGCTCACTGGCTGCGACAGTATCCACAGAACACACTGCTCCAAGAGCTCTGTGCGCTTTCTGCATCGCGCTCAAACATCTGTTTTGTGCAGATTTCCGCATGATTAAAAAATAATAATAATAATAATAATAATAATAATATATACAAAAATCTACAGCCAGCTTTTTAAAAAAACAAACAAAACAAAAACTCTATACCATGACCATGAGACGAGCATATCAAATTATAGGATGAACAATGACATAACCTGCCTAAAGTAAACAGTTTGGCGTCACATGTTACGCTCTTATTTGGATAGTGTCTACAGTAGCCTAGGTCAGTAAAAAACAAAAACAAAAACAAAAACAAAAAAGAGGGAAAACACAAACATATAATTCAAAATAAACGTCGTTTATGTCATTACATTAGTTGTAAAACAATGACAAGCATAAGCAGGTTTTGAAGTTTCGCTTAATGCCGTTTGGTGTCAGGGACTTTGCGCACTTGTACTGCAGTCATCACTCGTGTGTTTTTTTTTTGTTTGTTGAGAAAAGAGTCTGTCTTCTTACCTCCGGGTACGAGTCCTTCGCAAAAACGTGCAGGAGAGCCGTCTTTCCACACTGCGCATCTCCGACCACCACGATCTTGCAGCGAAGTAATCCCTTAGTGCTCTCCATCGCGCCCCGAGTTATCACTGAGTGTCTCCGTGTCCGGGTCCGCTTGTCATTTAGCTCCAGACTAGTTCAGAGACGCGCAGCAGCTTTTCATTTGTCTCCAGAGAAGACTGAACTCACTTGACGTGATAAACTTTAAACTCCACGGCACTGGTAAGAGTTTCCACTACATGCTCTGAGCAGTGCTGCGCTGCTCTGATCCACCGGTGAACTGAGGCTCACTGATACACCTGTCAGAGCGCGTCCACAAACCCGTTTCCTGTCACATCTTTTCAAAATAAAGCACAAGACGTGGGCTACTTTTGTGATCTTAAAACAAATATATAAAGGCTATACAATAAGTAGCTTGATGCAAATTTAGTTTCCTACTTTTATCTTAGTTAACTTTCTGTGCTACATAAACACCGAGACACGTAAAGAGCTCTCTTGTGGTTGTGATACCAGAAATCAAACTTTATCTTTGTGCAATACAGCGGCAACAAATACATAGAAGTCCCAGGCACTCTACATCCTGTTTCTCTTGTTTTAACCTGTAATATTTACAGTCTATGGTTTTAACATCACAAAGATGGTGCTGCTAACTCCTGCATACTGTTTAATTTGCTCTTTCAAAATCTGTTGGCTATTTTTTTATTTTATTTTTTTTATTTCCGTATTCTTTCAAATAACAGGCAGACATTGTATAATCTTTATACATTTTATGTGGTATCAAAAAGTATCAGAGTAACTGAAATTTTGACAACCTAAGTCTTGTGTCTATAATGTAGGCTGACCTTTTACCTCAAAGTATCTATTTATCTATCTATATTTATCTATCTATCTATCTATCTATCTATATTTATCTATCTATCTATCTATCTATCTATCTATCTATCTATCTATCTATCTATATATCTATTTATCTATCTATCTATCTATCTATCTATATCTATCTATCTATATCTATCTATCTATCTATATCTGTTACTTCAACAACATATTTGTTTCCCAGTATCCGATATTCACGATGCTAAATTTAAAACCATAACAATTGAATTGCTGAAGATGAACAAATAAGAGTGATACGGTTCAGCAAAATAAAACTGTAACAGAATTCTAGTTAACAATCACTTATTTTGTAGTGATTATAAACATTAATATCACACAGACTCCATGGGCTGATATTGTGCAAAATGCATTCATAAATCCTGACTTAACTTTCATCTTAAATCAAAGATATTGTTTTAACTAGCGTGTGTGTCTTCATAAAACAATGTGTCTGATCTATGCAATCCATTTATCTTTAGTCAGAGACAGAGATGGCTTGTCTGACAACGACTTTAGCGCCATCTTTTGGTCAAACTGAGTATTACTTCCCACAGGCTACACTATAGTGATTGCGGTCATCTGTTGTTTGTTTCACTTAACATATTTCCCAACAGCCAAGGAAAGTGACCCGATCAAAAAAACTGTTTTCTTAGTATTTATTTTTTAATTCAAACATTACAACAATTCTTTATGTAAAATAAATTGTAACAAATGCAGATCTTCTCGGCTCCTATATGATTTTTAATATTCCTGGAAATGCCACAGCGTTCAGGCCTAAATCAGAACATGTGTTGGCTGCAGATTGATTAAGAAAAATCAATTCACATGAAACTAACTTAAAAGGGAGATTGTGTTTTTCACTGTTTTCAAATGTGTACTCAGGTTTGTTGAAGACATCTGAACCTGTGAGAAGAAAGTGAAAAGTAAACTGTGTCAATGGTTAGGTTGGTAGCTTTGACATATTAATGTGGCTGACAGCAACTGTGGCAGGATACAAAACCTCTGTGCAGAAACAGCCACGGTGTGCAGCAAACACATCCTGAGTGTACTGAAGAAAACGATTAGGGGCCTGCTGTGTGTGTTAGTTCATCTGAAACACTGTAAAACATTTCTAACTAACCGACATGTTTGCAGCAGCTGTATGAGGGTGTTGATTCTGAGTGTGACAACTTTAAAGTGGGAGACATTAAGTGTCGCTTAGACCTGCAACTTCTGACCTCAAATATGTCTTTGTATTTAAAAGAGGAATTTCCTGCCCCATTTTTAAAGCCCACCTCCATCTCTCTTCCGTCACTTCACTTCCTGTCTTATTTACTCAATCTGTGTTGGCTGATTAAAACAACTCATTGCCATTATACAGGAAATTGTCCATAACTTGAGCTTGTCTTGATAAGATAATAATAACAAATTAAAAGACAGATTGTATTTATGTAGCACCTTTCAAAGTTATACAATGTTAAGTGCTTTTCAAGCAACATCTGAAGCTGTGGAATAATTAGGATAAAAAGAGTTACTAAAAGAGTTAAAACCTTATTTAAAATTGAGTAAAAAGGTCAATAAAATATAGCAACATGAAATAGTCTAAATAAATATATTCTCTGGGGGCGCGGGTAGCCTAGTGTGCACACCCTATAGTCCTCCGAGCAGGCAGCATGGGTTCAAATCCGACCGATGGCTTCCCGCATGTCATTCCCCTTTCCCCCCAATTTCTGACTCCATCAACTCTCCTATCTCTAACTAAAGGTATAAAAAGCCCCAAAATAAACATTTCAAACTTAAAATAGGCCTAGTTGAGAATATTTCTCGAAACAGAAAATGGTTTTAGAATAACTTCTCTCTTTTTAAATAAGAATAATATATTAATCTGTCCGTTTGTGGCACTAACACTCATTCTGAAATAGATTTTCCCCCCTCTCTTTGTAAAGTGAGGTTATTTTCAGATATCCAATAGGTCTATGTCATGTCTGGGGTTGGACTATATGGAGGGGTAAAACACATTAGTTGTCAATTTGGTAAAATAACAGGCTACTCTTAATAATTGGATTATCTCACTATGGTCGAAGACTACCAATAAATGAGCACTGTGCATGACTTTTGAGTTGAAGGTGAGGGGGCTGAAAGGTAGCTGTGTGTCTTTTCTCCAGCTGTTCTTTAAAATAATCCCAATTCATCCTCTCAGTACTCCGGTATCCGGATTTTCTATTCTCCGCGTTTCTCTGACTCACATTTGACCAACAACACGGATCGGTCACTTTTCCAGCTGCGTCAAGTCAGACGAAAACAAAAAGAAAAACACCCGAAGATACCGGATTTGGTGTGTAAGTAAAATACTTTTTTTTTTAAATTTTAAAATCAAACCATTGCTTAATGCCAGAATCCCATCCACAAAACATATTGATAACAAACAGGATGATAATTTATTATAGCCATCAAACTAAGTGATATTGTAATGAGTGTCATTTAAATCAATAGTATCAGGGTTAGCCTATTCGAGGGCTGATTCTGAATTAAGTCTGTTTGTCACAGAAACATTGCTCTCATATTTAGACAAACATTGAGGTGTAAAATGTTTTTTTTTTTTTGATTTCTGTTGATATGTTTGAAGTGCAAATCAATTCATGATAGTATTGTTTGTAATTTGATTGGTTAAGAAACATAAAACCTTATGAAAGAAAGTCATTTAAGTTTGCATTTGCATTGTTTTAGTCTATAGTCATGAGCATCATCATTTTTATCAAATAGTCTACCTACCCTTCTTCCCTGTCTTCCCTGTGAAAATACATACAGTCTAAACTAGAGTCAAAATATTTTACATCAATATTTATCATATTTAATAGTTTATATGTCCCCCATGTTTTAAACAGATTTGACCTTTTTAATGTAAGTTCTTGCGTGTATGCTTTTATTCCAAAATTGTAGCACTTTGAGATTTGGTTCAAATTCAAAGTGCGTTACAATAAATTGAATTATTATTATTATCAAGTCTCCTTTTCTTTCGTTTAATTCTATTATCTTTCTGTTTTTGTTTGCCTTTTGTTTTGTTTTTTTATATATTTTTGATCATTTATTTTTCACGCCAACTTTTAAGTTGTTTTAATGTGAAAATCCAAACCGGAACAAGCGATCTAGTTGTCAGTGTGTTGACTAATGTCACTTGTTGATCGCGGCGCGCTCACAGGAAACAAACCACGAAACATTAATCTCATTTTTCACCACAGACACAGACGGTCTTCATTCTTGGGGAACGACTATTTTCTGAGAGTTTAACGGGACTGTTTCACTTTGTTTCGGAGAATAAACGCCCACAAAGACCGAACTGTTGATCTGAAAACCTTTCTGGGGGAAAAAAAAAAAAAAAAATCATCACAAGTGTTGATCATGTCTGGTGAAGAGGCTCCAACTCAACAGCTTCAACCTGAGCAGGAGAAGAAGCCCGATGAGCCCCCGCCGGCTGCTCCGGAGCCCCCGCTGGAGTCCGAGGGAAGCCCCGCAGCTGCAGCAGAGGAGAAGGAGCTCCCCTGCCGGGCTCTGGTCCTGACCGGCTACGGCGGCTATGATAAAGTGAAGATGCAGGTGAAGGCGCTGAGCCCATCACAGCTGAAGGCGGGAGAGGTCCTGCTTCGGGTCAAAGCTTGCGGGCTGAACTTTGCCGAGCTCCTGGGCAGACAGGGGCTATACGAGCTGCTGCCGGCCCCGCCCGTTACGATGGGGATGGAGGGCTGCGGGGTCATCGAGGCGTGCGGGGAGGACGTGAAGGACAGGAAAGTGAGTACAGGCCTTCTGAGTGCACCCACACCCACACCATGTCACTGAGCACCGAAGCTTTATCGCTTTCAAAAAGTCAAAACATTCTAAAAACTAGAGCAGAAATGGGGAACGACAGCCAAGAGGTTAACTTGACTGATTAATTGGGGAATACAGTTTTAGCCTATAGGCTCTCATCATGTCTCTGCAGGGCCATAAACATAACCCCTAACCCATGTGTCATTTTAAACCACAAACATTGGACTAGTTATCCAGACAGTGAGCATTTTGAATGGCTGTTTTATTTCCCTTATAAGACAATGGAAACTCTATTTTTATTTTTATTTTTTTAAGTGTCAGTATGAGAATTATGGCTGGAAAATAATGCTGACCCAGTTTACAATGTTTAGTTTACAACTTGTTTGCTAATGGAGAAAATTCCAGTCCAATTTTCTTAAGTCAAAGTTGGTACCTTCATTTTTCTTTCCTTGCCAGGACATCAAATATCCAATACAGAAATGCAGAAAATCCTCCAATCAAGAGGCTGAAACACTAACATTGGCCACCACAACCTGACCACCGACTGTTTTAATATCAATAGTTCAATATCAGTGTTTCAGAATTATAGTGTGTTAATGTTTCAGGTCTATATAGGACTATTTCTTTCCTACGATGGAATTTTCTGTGTTGAAACTTCTCCGCACAATATGCTGCTCGATGCAGAATGAAAGAGTAGAAGCCCCTTCACACGTAACCTAGTGACCTATGGTCTTTACATCAGGAAAGAAAAAACAGCGTTCTGCTTTACAGAGTGTCCTTGAAGTGTTTCTTCTGTGCAGAGGAAGCACATTTACCCGATCTGTGATAAGAGCTTTTGAAGGGCGACTTTTATGGCTTTCTCATTTATCAAATACAGAATATTTAGAAGGTAAAACCCAAACATTGACAGGCTAAAGTTTCTTTTTTTAATGCTTTTCTCTGGTGTTGAAGAGCATAGAAACCAAAGCTGCAGATACTTGCAGCTTTCAGGCCACTTCTTCCCTGAAGTAAAAAAAACACTTTTTTTTCGAGATACTGCAGAGCTGATCCCAGAGAACAGGCCAAATCCTCCACCTGTTACCTACATAGTGTTTATTTATAAAGCCACATATTGGAGATAAAAGAAGTGACTCACTGCAAGCTACCTCTCTGACTTCAAGAGAAAACTTCAAACAGCAGCGTGTTTTTACATCGTCAGAGAGTCTCTTACATTTTTCTTGCAGTCATGCTCGTGTAAGGAAAAGAAAAAAAATCCCAAGTCACTAAGACAAAACTTAGAAAACTTGTACTGTTTGTAAACCTTTTTTCAAAATCTTCATTTTGGTTCAGGAATGTCCTTGACAATGTTTTTTTATTTATTTTTTTTTTTAGCCAAATTAATCATTCAGGGAGCTTTGCAGAGTGAACCACTATGCGTCCTACTGTAGCTGTCTTGTGCTGCCTCTCGTGCGTCACACAGAGCTAAACATTTAATGAACCGTTCTCTGAAAATCTGCATGAAAGATAAGTCTGTCTGCTTCACTCTTGAACATCCCTTATGGCTTCACAAAGATGGCAGATACTGCATATCCTATCAGTAATGATGGTTAGTATTGATGTTGATTTCATACATTCTCATATAAAGTGAAAACATTTTTTTTACAGTTTGTGTTCAAAGGGAAAACACACAGTGGTGCAGTGGTTAGTGCGGTTGCCTTTAAGCGAGTCGGCTCCTGGTTCTCATCCCCTTCAGACGGGAGCCTCTCTGAGTGGAGTTTGCATGTTCTCCCCCGTGCATGCGTGGTTTCTCTCCGGGGAACTCCAGCTTCCTCCCACAGTCCAAAGACATGCTCATTTAGGTTAATTGGTGACTCTAAATTGCCCGTGGATGTGAGTGTGGCTGGTTGTCTGTCTTTATATGCCAGCCCTGTGATTGACTGCCCCCCCCCCCCCAGGACCCTGAATGTGAAAAGCGGTATAGATATGGATGGACATCGGTCTCTCATATAGCTACGTAGACTGGAAGTGAGGTTGCAGCTTGAGCATCGGGATAAACATATTTTTTTTAGCATGCAACAGGTCAAATGTTTTTAAATCCAGATTATTGGAATTATAAAAAAAAAAAAAAAAAATACTGGTTTTCTTGGTTTTCCCTGAGTTTATTATGATGCCCGTCTCTCAGAGTGGGATTTACAGTCAATGCGTGAGAGGTGAAAACTGGGGCATCGCACACCTCATTCAGTTGTTGAAACATGTTAGAATGAAAAAAAAAAAGGTTTTATCTTGAGTTGTTTTTCCCATCTTCAACCTTTCTGAGCATAAACTTGACCATATTAAGCACTTACGTGAGTATGTCTGCAAGTTACTGTTGTTTTCGTCAATGAGTCTGTTCCGAATCTATACAAACTATTCTTCAAAACGGATCGCTCACATTCTCAGGCGGGGTTTGTATTTTTCTCCTGATACACTTTTCAAGAGTTTGTTTGTTAAATTGTTGAACTCATTCGTGCGCTCAGAAAAGGAACAAAGACAATCCGTCATCGTTCGCAGTTTGTCAGCCTGTAAAAAAACCGATGTCTGTCGCGAGGTAATCAATCTGATGAACCAATCACGTCTCCCTGTTTGTACTCAGACACCTGGCGTGCGTGTCACAGAGTTTATACTGTGAGTTTACTTCCCGCTGAATGAGACGTGAGGCGACGTAGCTTCTACACAAAGCTAGTGATGAGCTCAAGTCCACTTCTGGAGAAACGGTGTTCATGCATGTACGTGAAAGGGGGCGTGGCTTTTGAGGGAGCACAGAGGGGAGAGGATGGATGTTGACGGAGCACTGAGGGAAGACTGCTTTCAAAGTTACGCTAATTTTTTTAAATGACCAACCCTGCCTTCAAAGTGACGTCTTCATTTGCTTGTCCAATCGAGAGCCAAACACCGAAAACTCTTTGTTTACTGTCATGAATAATGAAGACAAGTAGCAAATTCTTGAATTAAAACATCAGAAACACGTTTTACATTTAATCTTAAAAATGACTCAAATAATCAATAGATCATCTAAACAGTTGGCAATTGATTCTCTTTCTTTCGATCAGACACGATAAACAAACTGAGCTGTGCTGTGAGCCAGCCTTTTGAAGTGCTGGAAACTTTTCTTTATTGTCAACCTTGGAGATACTTTGGAGTCAGACTTGCATTTTTCTTGGCTCCTACATGTGTGTGTTGCTGAAGCCCCTCCCCGTGCCTCTGTGTCAGCATGGAATTTCTTCCACCTCCTCTTACTACAGTCCTTTCCCACCCTCTTCTCATTCCTAACTCCCATCCTTGTCTCTGTTTTGGAAAAGAAAGAATCCCTTTTTTTTTTTTTTTTGGAAAGGAAACGACTAAAACTTAGGACACCACAAAACCCCCAACTGCAGCAGCACAGAAACCAGATGTATGAAGTCAAGAGTTCCAATAAGCTAAAACGCAATGGATGTATCATGTAGAGGCTCTGAAAGGTACAAGGGGGAAGATATTCATGCTTACAATCAAGACATTTGGTGAGGTTAGAGTAAGAAGATTCTGGGTGGGACTGCGTTTGGGGACGCACAGAGGAGCAGATAGTAACACAAAGGAGAAGCTGAAGTGTTTTCAGAGAGAGGCTGAGGCTTGGCAGCAGCAGCAGCAGCAGCAGCTTTTCTCCAGACGAGGACAGGAGGGTGTGGCTCCGCAGCAGACGGAGCAGATGTGTGATGTAGGATCCCATTACAGCGCCTCATCCCTTCATGATTCAACAAGCGGCGTTACATTTTCACAGAGGTTTCCAAACACGGTGCCTCGACTGTCAGAGATGATGAAATCGCAGCTTGATTGATCATTTTGGAAGATGGGACCCGTTTAGTTTCCGGGCCGACTGATTTGAAATAAACAACAACACCATCTGTTCTGCAATTCAGATAATTTCATCAGCCTAATGTGCTGTGATAACAGATGTGGAGCGATGTGTGAACTTAATTAATGTTTTTACAATTGGACTGTTTTGAATTAACTTTGTTCAGTCCATTCACGCAACACCTGCACTTAAATACAATTCAGGTCCTTTTACCTTGACATGAATATTTCCACATTCTGCTATTTCATACATAAATTCCAACAGAATTAAAGGGAAATATTCCACTTTTAACTCCCTACTTTAACGACAGCTGTAGCTGTGATTGACCTGAACACAGTATGAAACACTTAAATACGAATGACACATTGCAGCTGATTAAACCAGCTTCTACTTTTTTTCTAAATATTATTTTGGGTTTCATACCCTTATGGAGAGGACAAAGTAGTGGATAGATTCAGAAACAGGGATAAGAGAGTGGGGCACGACGTGAAGCAGGAGTTGAACCTCTGTACATTGGACACACCATTTAACCACTGAGCTATTCTGATGCCCCAACGAGCTTGTGTTTTTAAACATGCAAAAAAAAATAATAATAATAATGCACACAGAAGGTTTCCATACCATATTTTAGGGAAATATATGAGAAAATATTGAGGATTTTCCTGATTGGTTCAATTTGAGTTATTGTTTGAGGCCATGTTAGGTACTTTTTTCCTACACACACAAAGCAGTGAAGAAACCAGCAGAAATTTGGAGAAAAAAAAAAACTTTATTCTTTCAGCTGTTGCTTTAGATTATTTTACGACTCTCATATTTATTGCATAGTAAGCCTTTGCAGGGGCTAGCCTGTTTTTGTCAATGAAGCCAGATCGATGCATCGTTTGTGCTGGTTTAATATTCTTTTACAGAACAAAACATGCAGAAAACATAACTTTTTTCTGAGAGGGGTTCATAAATGTTGTCTTCTTGTAGTCTGTGTAGGTGACAAAACTCCAACATAAAACACGGTACTCTTAGCCCTGACCTCAGCACATTTTGGAAAGCATTACGGTCGATCAGATGCTCGTCTGCACAAGAAATTGTTGACGCTGTGTAACAACTCAAACAGCCTCCTGACTACATTTTCAAAGTTGTACAAAAGAAAAATCACAAAATTGGCCAGAATATCGGTAATCTGTGAATATATCTGTTTAAAAAAATCCCATATCTATCTTCTGGTTCTAATATTAGGAAACTCAGCCTCACTGCAATTAAAGAAGTTTAAGCCAGCTCCACCTGGCTCTACCTTAGCCTTGGTTCTTGTAGTTCCAGTTAAACAAACACAGCAACATTCTCTCTCTTCATCTATGTTATGAGACGTGTTTGTTTTACTGCTATAATTAAACCTGTGAATGAAAGAGGCAGCGTGCACTGAAATGTGTCACAGTGTGTTTATGTTCATGTCATTATAACTTCATCTGCTGATGTCAACAGTCAAGGGAACTGTGCTGTCTGATGGCTCATGGGTTGTCAGCATGCGGTCACACATGCAATGAAAATCTGTAGACATTTTCAGGAGTTTTGTGCATGTGTGAATACAGCAAAAGTGACACAGTCAAATCAACAGCAAGTTTCCATTCGAAAACATCCCCCTGCTGTTGTGCTTACAAACATCTCTTCAGTTACCTCAGTTCATGTCAGCTGTCCAAGAACTGAGCTCAGCCTTTTGTAAACTGACAATTGTGCATTTTTGTGTGTTCCTGCAGTTTTTTTTTTTTTAAGTGTTTCATAAGAGCAAGAGTTGAGACATTTTATCACCATTAAGACAAATCAATACAGAAGGGAAGTAAAAGCATACAACATGGAGCTGTAATGATATATGTGTACAAACAGATATGTAAAACATGTTTGTCTGTGCCTGTGTTTGTGTGTCATCAGTCTATTGTCATGGGTTTGTGTGTATCAGGAAGGAGGCGTGGCTCCTGAATCTGTTTATACAGGAAGCAGGGCTGCACTATCAAGCCTCTATCCTGTACTCTTCTCTATTTTAGTGAAGGTTCACAGCACCAATGATACTTTTATCACTACAAATTTCAGTGTGAAAAGGCAGCACACAATGTGTGTGTCATGATTTGGTCTTATTTAGTTTCATATTTCAGTATTTAGGTTTCCATGTTTTCATTTCTCCTGTTTATCTTAGTGTTGCTTGTTTCCCTTGTGTGTTTTTGTCCTAATGTTTCATAGTTTAGTCTTTAGTGTTTCGAGTGTTATTTTGTAACTTCGTACCCTAGTGTTTCTTTTTGTTCGAGTGTGTTTTTGTTACATTCTTGAGTTCTCTGTGTATCTTAGTGTTTCTTGATTTATGTTGTAGTTCTAGTCTCCAGTGTTTCTTGTCTTGTGTTTATTCCTGCCTCTGTGTGTTTTCCCTCCAGTGTTGATTGCCCTCATTGTCTTCACCTGTGTGTTAGTCTCACCTGTGTCTGATTACCCCTGTGTCTATTTAGTCTCTGTGTTTCTTCCCCTCGGGTCAGTTCATTGTTGTTATTATGTTGTTTGTTGGTATATGTCAGTTTTTGCCCGTGCTCCTGTGTGGCTCCCTGTTTTTGATCCATGTGTGTTTTTGTTGAACTTTTGGAAGTAAGTTTCTGTTTGCCTTTGGCCTTTTTGTTTATTAAATATATTTAGTTAATTTGCACGAGGGTCCAGTTCCTTGTTTTTCCCCTGAACGTGACAGTGAGTGAACAACGTGTCCCATAAGCCGCCTTTACATGTGCTGATAGTAACATTGACAGTATTTCATGAAATTATTTCCAGTTTGAATTAACAATAAATCATGGATTACTCAAGTGCAACTATTAGTTTATATAGCCTACTTAAAGCTACTGTGAGGAGTTTTTATCTACTGATAAACCTACTAAGGCAAAGGACACGACCACCAGCATGATGAATGATTTCGATGTAGTTATTTATAAATGTCTGAAAGTGCTGTCAGGGGCTCAGAAGAAGAGATAAACAGCGCAAATAACCTTCGACTGCATGTGTTTGCCATAGCAACGAGTATCGATGAGCGATACTTCTAACTGCTATTTGTTAAGTGAAAAAAAACAGTTAAACATATGTACAGGACAAAATCAGAAAAGAGATTAGAGGTGCCGCTTTGTCCACAGGGGGCATCAAGTCAACACAAACAAAAAGTTTCTCACAGGAGCGAATTCTCAAATTCTCAAATTACACAGATACGTCCTGCTACATCACTGTTATAACATGGGTATTTTACTATGACATCACAGTTCATGAAATCAATTCTACAGCAGCTTAAAGGGATACTTCACCCATTTGCATTAAGCTTTGTATCATTTGAAACATCGTAGTATTTTTGAATGGTCGTGCATCCCGCCCTCATTTTCCTCTGAGATGGGAAATCTTTGTATTTCTGAGTCTGAAAAGGAGCTTCCAGTGATGCAACATGACGATTTCTGCGTCACTGGAAGCTGTTGCGGTTAGCGGGGTGAAAATACAACGCTAGTTCCTCATATTTTCGCGGGAACTCACTCCCAGAATCGAAGCTTAACGTCCACCATATTGCTTGGAAGCTATGCTAACAGGCTCTATGGAGAAAGCTGATAATGGGGAAAAAATATAAATTATAGCGGCGAGACGGCTGCTGCGGTCTGGTAGTGTCTGTGCTCTCACTGTTTACCTGTGAACACAGACATAGAGTCTGTTTTCTGCCAGGAATTTCCAAGATACTAATTCCTTCTGGAAGAAATCTCGGAATGAGTTGTGTAAACAGCCTTATGTGTTGAAGTAAACGTGTCTGTAAACCTGACCTTAGTGGGAGTGGCCTGCAGTTCTGTGCATTCTGGGATTTGATGTCTCTCATCCACATGAGCCAAAAAGACACTTTCTGCCTTTTCTCGGCCAAGAAGGCACCAACTTTATTTATTTCACATTTCTACTACATATATGACCCAATGTCAATACAGATTCATGTTTCAACGGGTGAAGTATCCCTTTAATAACAGCAAAGTGACGAGTATTTAACTGAAATTTTACTGCAACATACTGATTCAACACTGTAAATTGATTGAAGTATTTTACTTTGAAATTCTGCTGTTACATGCCTCTATGTTTCAATACAATCACAGGTCAATACAGTAATGCTAAAGCAAAATACTATATTTTACAGTGTATTTTAGCTGCTCATAAAAAGTTGAATAGAGTCCTTCAGCTGCCCTGCAGAATGAGACAGAAAATGAGGTATCTGTGTGTATCGAAAGGTCAGAAAATCAAACATTTCCAGAAGCCTCTTTGGGCATTGGGAAATAGGTCTGCTGAAAAAAGGTTGAAGTCATTATTAACTCAATCACAAGTTACAGACAGGATGTGTTTCCGTTTCACAGCCTGGCACACACCACCACAGAAGATCTTCTTAGTAACTTATCTCTCCCTCTCTTTCCTCTCTCAGGTTGGGGATCGGGTCATCACATTAGCCCGCAGTGGCATGTGGCAGGAAGTGGTGATTGTGCCTGCTGACCGCACCTTCCTCATGCCTGAGCAGATGAGCTTTGAGGAAGGCGCTGCTCTGTCTGTGAACTACCTCACTGCCTACATGATGCTGTTTGAGATGGCCAATCTGAGGCCGGGGAAGAGTGTCCTCATCCACATGGCAGCAGGTAAGAACCGCACAGAGCAGACATAACAAGTGTTATTCAGCTTCATTCCCCTCAGTTAGGTCCAATAATTAAATGATTTGACTTTTTGACCAAATTAATGAAATTTCCATAAACTGGGGAAATCAGTGGAACGTGAAAGAATGAAAATATATATAAGATGTAACAATAATCATTCCTGTAACATCAAACATTTTGATTTTTTTTTTTAGAGTTTTCATTATCTTATTAGAGTGCTTTTGGTAAATCATCAGTTTTCTTTAGGTTGAAGTGTCATTTTGTTTTCCCCATAGGTGTATGAACCCATATTCTGCAGAATCAGCGCCAATACGTTCAAAAACATCCCCAGATAAATGAGACTAAAATGATCATGATAAAATAATAAGTTGAAACTTCTTATGAAGCAGCAAGCAACATATTGTCTCATTACAGTGTCCGGTCAAAAACTCAGTGAAAACAAAGTGTTGTCTAATGTTTACATCTATATGACTGTTATAGAAAAGGAATATCAACCTCATGACCTAGTTGAGCTGAATATCAGCAAAATGGTCTACTGATATAGTGTTGTTCTATTCTACATTCAGACACTGACAGCAGAGGCTTCTTAGTGAAGTGCCAATCTGTACTAATAACTGAAGTTGTCAACATGTTTTAATACAATACAGTTCTGTTATTTTAATGATTGGTGGTATCGAAAAGTACGAAAAATAGGTTGAAAAGAAAGAAAAAAAGCAGCACTAGGGGCGCTGGTAGCGTAGTGGTTAGTGCTCGTGCCCCATGTACGGAGGCTATGGTCCTCCAGGCGGGTGGCTCCGGGTTCAGATGCTTTGCCGCATGTCATTCCCCGCTCTTCCCCATTCTCTCTCTCTCTCTCTCTCTCTCTCTCTCTCCCTGATTTCTGACACAATGGTTGAGTATTGACAGGTTCCAACTCCTTAAACATGTTGTGGTCTCCACCCTGGACAGATTTTCTTCCACATGAATGGATTGTGAAATGTAAAAAAAAAAACAACTAATTAAACATCTCTCCTGGTCTCCATGGTAACCTTTGAAGAGTGACACAGCTTGTAACCTCTAGTTCACTAATCACTTCTCTGAATGCAGCTACGTGTCTTTACTGAAAACATATCATCTGAGAGAGAGTGTGTGTGTGTGTGTGTGTGTGTGTGTGTGTGTGTGTGTGTGTGTGTGTGTGTGTGTGTGTGTGTGTGTGTGTGTGTGTGTGTGTGTGTGTGTGTGTGTCTCACGGGCCCCATAACAGCTTATTCATAAAATGGCACAGGATCATTATCTGTTGGGGTTGCTCTGGCAACACCTGACATTTGAAGAAGAGGCTCCAACATTGTCTGTGTGTGTCTGTGTGTGTGTGGGGTCCTTGTAGTACCACATCCATCACAGCAGGTTTTTCTAACAGCCTCTTACTGTGACTGACGGGATCCACAGTCCTATCTGTTACATGATTATTTCACATACAGAGATCTCTGTGTTGTTCTTTATGCTCTTCTCTCTGGTTTGAAGTGGGCGGAAGTCGCACACTGACATGCACCAATCAGGATTTAGCATCAACTGAGTCAGAATCTAACAACAGGTGTTTGCTTGTTATGTTTCTATTCATTGATATCTGATCAAACCACACCCACACGGTCCTCATGGCGCACATGAGCTGAGTAGTATTTAACTCAGTAAACAGTCATTAGAATTATTTCAAATAGTCTTTTTTTTTTTACTTCACACGTAACTTTTCATTTTAAAAATAAACACTTGGAAGCTTAAAAGGGCTATAACCATATACAGGCAAAATACCAACAGAGTGTCTTCTGCTTATTTCTGATGTTGAGTCATGCTTAAAAGATGCTCCAAAAAACAAGGTGGATGAATCCTCCGAATGTAAAATTTGATCGCCATTTTCAATTGCCAGAACATCCTGCTGGGTCAGTGATGCAAGAAAAATACTGTAAAAAAAAACATAAACAGGCTTTAAATCTGGACCTTTGTTTTTGATGTTTGCAATCACATTATCATAAAGAAAAGATCCTCAAGTATTTACCTCAACTATTTCAAGCAGTTACCTTTCTTATGCTTGTAATCATTTACCATTACCTTCAACATCACATTATCATCTACAATCAGTAACTCAGCTGTTAGTGGGATTGTTCAACATATTCATCTTATGACAGCATTCTGATTTTATCTGAGGATCTTTTTAAAAAGTCTCAGATTGATAAACACTTACTTGTGCCGTGCTGAATTTTATATACAAGCCAACCATGACCAAAATAGACCCGTCACAGATAGATCAACAATGGATGTTTTTCATGAAATGCCGATATGAAAACTTTTTTAAGAGAACATTAACTCCATCATCTCGTGGTTTAGCGTAGCAAATGATGCTACGACGCAATAGTTTACAACTCTCAGCACTATCTGCAGCCACTTGTAGCAGAGAACCACAACCTGGCTTTACATTGACATACCTGTGCAAGAAAGGTGCACATGCCACCTAGGCTTGGCCAACATGTTGGTTGAGAACTTGATTTTTCCACATTAAATCAGTTTAAGTCATTAAAAAACTCAGCTCTGTAAAGCGCCTTCAGACAACAAGTTGTTAAATTAGAACAATCATGAGCATATTTTTTTGATCTTTAAATAAAAAGTTACGTCAAATAATTGTGAAAATTCTTGGGCACTAGTGGCCCACTCGTTAATATGCGGGCCCCATGTATAGAGGCTACAGTCCTCAAAGCGGGCATCCCGCGTTCAAATCCGACCTGTGGCTCCTGCATGTCATCCCTGACTCTATCCACTGTCCTGTCTCTCCAAAAAAAAATCCAAAATAAATCTTAAAATAAATAATATTAAAAACAAATAACTGTAACATTCAAAAGTAGAAGATACATTTTAAATCGGAAAGAAAAACGAAATGTCTTTAAAATTCCCACCAACATTGATTTGTCCTGTTTGTTCTTTTAATCCGCTATTTTCAGATGTTTTTTGGAAAAGAGTCAGATTTATTATCGAACATGAAATCCAAACTAAAGGTTTCAGAAATGTGGGTGCTGCGGTTCCTCTCATAGCTCAGTGTTTGTCCACCAGTCTTGGCGGTAAGCACAGAGGTCAGTTTCTGTCTGCGTTCAGCATCACAGTCGAGTGCTCTTCTGCATCCTCGCTCTCAAAGGCCGTGTTTCAGAGCTGAGTGGGCGGGCGCTGTCAGCTGACCTGTATGAATCAGCGTCATGAGGCCGGGGTGAAGACGAGGGCAGGGGGGATACTGGTGAGGCTGCACACACAGGCAGCCATCGTTGTGAAAGACCTCTCACTGCTTCAACAGAACCAGAGCGAAAAACACGAGAAATGACAATCCGCTTTATCAGCTGTTTATTCTCCTGTGTTGTAAGGTTTCACCCTCGCTAAGATCACATGAGCAACCTCTGCAGAACTGAGTGTAATGCTTCTGAATGGGATCCCACTGATGTTCAGGTTTTATCTACCGTACATGAGTAACCTTTACTTGTTTTCCTGGGGTCTTTGTTCGGATCAAAGCTTGTTAAATCATCAAATTCTGATTCTTTTATCACTTATTCTATGTATTTTGTATCTGTATGCATGGGATATGAGTAAAATAAATAAGAAATTGTATGGCCACATCTTCCCACTCAAAAGATTTTCTATTACATCCCGTTATTTACATATTCCTTAAAATAAACAGGACAATAATATAGCATGTAAGTTGGTATATGGTTGAATATAGTAGAATGTGCATGCATTGAAACGAGTCTAATGACTGAGGGGGTGAAAAGGTTGTTTGATCACAAACCACAGCTGCTTAACATCACATTTCAATATAAGGAGGAGACGTTTAAATACCAAGTTACCAAAAAAATAATTAGAATCAGTCTGAATCATCCTCTAAGAGACAATGTCTGACATATAAACCTGCTTTATGACAGAAGTTAAAACCCTTATTAACAGATAACAGCATTTAAAAATGTATTTATAAACTCCTGAGTCATCCAGGAGGTAGCTTTATTCTCTGCACTTAAAGTCATTTGCTGTTTGATGATTTCATTTGAACATCTGTAGGTGGCGTTGGTGTCGCTGTGACCCAGCTGTGTAGGACTGTGCAGGATGTGACTGTCTTTGGTACAGCTTCAGCCTCCAAACACGAGACCATTTCTCAGGGCGGGGTGACTCACCCCATCGACTACCGCACCAAAGACTACGTTGAAGAGATTCGCAAAATCAGCCCAAAGGGTGAGAAAAAAAAAAAAAAACATGCAAATCCGTTTCTTGCCCTGCCATGGAATTTCATTGAACTTTTAATTCCAATAATTATGAACTGTTTGTACGTTGTTTTTTGACACACAGGAAATAAAATGTATCTTTCTTTACTTTCTGGACCATTCTCTCCTTTTTTGTGTGCAGGAGTGGACATCGTTCTCGACCCACTTGGTGGTTCAGACACCCAGAAAGGTTTTAGCCTGTTGAAACCTTTGGGTTCACTTATAGTTTTTGGTAAGATATTTTCAAAAATTAAAAAAACACGTGTTTAATCTGTATATTCAATTACAAAGAGCAGGGAAAAGACCGCCCTCATTGCTTAATCACAAAGACTCCAGCGTTAATTCATCATGAGCACAGCACTGAGCAAGATGTAGCAAAGTTACAGTGGAGAGAAAAAACTTAATTTTAACAGGCAGAAATGTTGGGCAAATCGAGCCATCTGCCGAAACTGTGCTGGGCTCCATAGCAGAGGCGATTCCAAGAAGCCTACAAAGAGCTCAGGAGCTCCCAGGAAAATATGTGGTTCATAACTTACATAGTACATCAAGATTTACAGAGAGTGACATGCAGTAATATGATGTGAATGCACAGAGAGAGAGGAGAGAGAGAGGAGCTCGAGGTGTCAGTTCCCCCAGCAGTCTAAGCCTATAGCAGCGTAAGTAGAAGCTGGTCCATACCTGCGCAAGGCCTCACTATAAGGTTTATCTAAAAGGAATGTTAGTCAGGAATGTACTTACTGTGTACCTAAAACAGTAAATCACAGTCAATCAAAGGGCCAGCTTCAGCTAAGTCTCCTGCTCTAAAGCTGAAAATGAAATGGGACACATCTTATTTAAAGACATTCTCATCTCTAATTCTCAATAAGATCCTCTTTCTTTGTTCCGTTCTGTTTGTTTTCACTTTAAGGTGCTGCCAACTGTGTGACCGGCCAGAAGAAGAACCTTTTGGCCATGGCTAAAACCTGGTACCATCAGCTCTCGCTCTCCGCGCTGAAGCTGATGCAGGTCAACAAGGCAGTCGGCGGCTTCCACCTGGGCTACATCCCTGATGAGGAGCTCATCAGCAGGACCATGGTGATGCTGCTGGAGCTCTACAAGCAGGGGAAGATCAAACCCCGTATTGACTCCTGCTATCACTTTGAGGAGGTTTGTTTGATCAAGTTTCAGACAAATATTAAAACATTACTATATTTTTGATAGCCCCTTCAAAATTCAATCCTGATAAAAACACAAAACTGCGGTTGCTTTGCTGCACACGGCTCTTTCTTGTTTTGAGTTTTACAAGAAGATTGAAAACATTGTCACTTATCGCGTGATTTAAACGTCATCACCCCCTCCTCGAAAGTGAATTTTCCAGAATATTTCCTGCTGCATTCACACATCTGCTCACGCTGGCTTCACTAAATCATACGACTAGGGGGCAACTGGTCAATCGTCATGAATGCACTAGAGCAGCGTCATATTGTCGTCTCCTTGCCAAAATGTTAGTTCTCACTCTTTTCATGATACAGCGGATATAACTGACACTTTACGGTCAGACTCTGCTGTGCCCACCATATTTGATATCTTGGAAACATTATGACAAATCATCCTTTTTACATCTGTAAGGACATCTGTCAACTTTTGAAAATTTAAGGGCCAGGCACTCCTGAATCATTTTGTGGAAACTTTCTGGAGGGCAAATAGAAAAACAACTTTGCAGCTGTGATACTTAAGATTCCACCAAAGTCTTTGTTGTTCTGCTTTATTCTGACAAAGACACAAATGTCTGAAAGTCATTACTTTGAAAAAAAAAAAAACTATTGGGCCCCCTTGTAGGAAAAGTCATTATTACACCTTACAGCCACAATTTTATACCTACAGCAGATGAGCAAACCTACAACCCCTCATCACATGGGTGGTACTTAAGGGCCGTTGCCAGGTAGCAGTCCCAATTGTGTCCGTGGCACCAACTACTAATCTTGGTTGCGAGTTTCTCTGGAAGGACTGTGATACAAGACGACCCTGATTCTGTGTTTGAAAACAGGAAAGAGAGAAAACCAGAGGCAGGAAATAATAGGAAGTGCAGATGACAAATGACAGATACACGTTGAAGATTGCCATCGCTTCCTTTTTTTTTTTTTGAACCATTGTAACATTTGTCAGCACTCAACATATTTTGAACACCACACTAATATGTGTGTTTGAAAAAGGCTGAGATGTGAAAATGATAATCAGTCTAATGATGACCTAAAGAAGCTGCTCTTGTTCTCAGCCCATAACCCTTGTCTCTTGTATAAACAATGGAGGAAACGATTACCGGTAAGTTCACTCATGAAGATGTAATTCTCGGGATGAATCCACAGCTGTCACCTGAGCACTTCCTTCTTCTCTACCGAGCATTTTCGCCTCTTTCAGCTCATTGTTTTGCTTTTATGACCCTCCAGTTAACTCATATTGGTCCCCTGTGTTTCCTCTGCAGCTGTTTCGTGCACACACAAAACGCTCTGACAAACCAACATACAAAATCAACTCAGCTCCAAACCCCAGTCTTAGAGTTTAAGTAACTAGCTTGTGAACATATGGAGCATTTAGCCGCTAATGAGCCAGATATTGAACATGCAACCAAATCTGAGCTCATGGGGGAATAAATTATAGACTTATTTGCTTCAGAGGCAAAAGAAATCCGACCTCAAATCAGTGTCAAATGTGTGTCCTCTTGATGTGTTTGAAAAGTAACTGTTAGCTTGAAGGCAAGTTTAACTTTTACAAATGTAGATATCAGTTATGTGTTTACCACTTCCTCTCGAATAAACTAGACTGCAGCATCAGATCCCCCCCCCCCCCCACAGGGATTTGTGAATCACTGTAGTAAGGAATATTATAAGGATGTAAATAACAGTTGCACATTTTGTTAAGGCAGGAAAGAGACAGACCCTAATGCACACCGTCATTCTGCTCCTCTGTCTTTCCCCAGGTGACCGATGCCATGAAGCGCATGCACGAGCGCCAAAACATCGGGAAAGTCATCCTCCTTCCCGAAGCCAAGAAGAAGGAGGAAGAGAAGCCAAAGTCCGACCCTGAGCCGGTAGAAAGTGAGGAAAAAACAGGAGCTGCTGTCAGCGAGCAGAAAGAAGAGGTTGCAGAGGAAGTTCAAGCCGAGAAAGATTGAGTAAGAGTGTTTATTGAATTATGTTTTCAATCACTTCCCTATTATTCAACCGCCAAAAAAAAGAAGGAAATTGCAAGTTGCCATGAATACTTTGAATTTGTCCGTGTTTTGGAAATGTTGATGAAGATTTTGTTGTGGAATATGTCTATAGTGAAAGTGTCGATGTTGGGGATATTGTGTTTGAATTGGCTCATGTATTCTGATTTCAAGTTGCTGTTACAAAAAGGACAAACTGAAGGGATCTGCTTCAAATATATACGTTGATATACGTTATATACGCATGTCTGAAACTTCTAAGAAATGGTCTTATACTTTTATTATGAATAAAAGATAATATATAAAGAAATCAAAAGTGATTCTCCACATCATCATCTCAGGTTAACACACAACTTCTCATTCTCATCCAGTACTCATTGTGACCAACAAACCTGATGCTTCATTAGACTGCAGTAGCTCAGAGGAGAGCTCATATTACGAATTCTACATGTGGTTGGGATATTCGTAAAAAAGACTTCATTCTTTTTTTTCTATATTATGGTCCTTATGTGGAGGTGTTTTAAAAAACACATTTGTTACAGCTCCATCAAACCTTTTTTCCTGTCGGTTGAGGCCATGATCAATGGAGCCCGTTTGTTTTGCACCCAAAAGCAAATGTTGATTTGACCCCTTAGCTTTGAAAGAACCACCATGAGTAGTATTCCCAACTACTCATTCTGGCATAAGTAGACTGCGCTTTGTCAACTTTTTATGAGAATATAACTCGCTAATTTTTACGTTGTTAGACATTTTTGTTCTTTTGTTTTGTCTTAGAAAAATCTTATTATTTCACAGTTTTTCTCTTCTTCATTTGAATTATTTTATGTTCTTAGTGAGTAAAATAAGCAGAAAGATGCTTTCAAGAAGAAATTAGTGTCAGAGTTGATTGATCAGCCCTTTTTCAGTGCCCATGAAATACATCAGAAAAAGATTTGTGTGAAATCATCTTACTGAACTTTGTGGGTTTTAAAAAAAGTTGTTTTTAAATAGGCGTCATATCTGAAAACGGGAAAAGTCATTTAAGTGTAACCAGAATATTTTACTGAGCTTTGGTAAATGTATTCACATTAACCTACACCTGTGTTATCAGCTAGAATTAGTGTCGGGCTTGTTATTGTAGCTAATGATCATTTAGTGGAGTCTAGCTCCAAACATTATGATGCACTACTTAAATTGAAGTGTACTATAGTGGCGTATGTTTTCCCTTCCTTTCCTCTTCAATGAATGTTGTCAGAAAAGAATCTCTCTATGGAGAGCAGAGGTCAGTATTTACCCTAGTTAGTGTTTTTTTCTTGCGTTTCGTGCCAAACGTAAAGCCAACTCACACCGCTGCCGTAAAGCAAACTGTGAATAACAATTAGCGGGACTTCCCGGCCTTGGCAAACCCTCGAGGGTTTCCTTTCCAAACAATGTCGTGCTGAACTCAAGGTAAAACAGTTTGGCAGCCTTGATTTGAATGAGTCCTGTGATTTAGCTGCTTTTTTAATTGCCTTTTCAAAATCAAAGGGATTCCTTCCATGTTTTATTGTTTACAGAACAGCCGTATGTGTTACTTTGTTATTCCTCTTATATAGACGACACATAGAGGTTAAAGAGTTATGAAGGAAGGTGCTTTGCTATATGCACTTTGTATGTCCGTGCTCTATATCTCTTCATTTAGCTTTTACGGCTACACTGAAGCTTTTACAGTATGATGATCGATTTCCGCTTCAGTCTATAAGTTTGAATTATTCACTTTTCTTCACGTTTATGTTTTATTTTCGATGTGTGGTCTTAAAAAGTGGAGTTTGGGCTCTGATGTTTAATCCAGCTGTGGGTGTAATTCAATGCTGTGAAGCAGAAGATGCTACTGAAGCACAACAGAGAGAGCATTCCCCTCCGTCCCCCTCCGCAGCGACTCCTCACATTCCTCTCCTCCTCACTCTCACCCCTGCTCTCTGTCTCTCTCTGAGCCTTCCTCTCCGTCCAGCATGCTCTGTTTTTCATTTTTATCTCAGCACTTGTAACAACACATTACAGATAATGCTTTATGTTATTTACATTGACGAGTGTTTTCTTTTGTTCTTATTTTCTTCTTTCTGGCCACTGGGATAAGTGTTGTGAAGTTGGGCCAGGTTTCCATCTGCTGGTGTGAAGTAAGATCTGATGTGGATTTAGAGTGGGGACTGGAGTGGCTCAATTTAACTAATACACAAAATATAACAGAGTAATAACTAACTAGCATATTGAGTTTTTTTTTATATGACACAGGCTTTTAAGATTTGATTTTAAAGAGCATTTGGTGAAGATTTAAAATGTAAAGAAAAACATGAAAGCCTGCTAAACATGTTTGTAATGCTTAAATTCCACATTTAACATGAGATATTTGTAAGAACTACAATTAGCTTTAAAAAAATGTGAGAAAATGTGTCTTGTAACACTTTATAGTTCGACAATTATATTGTGTACATGAGCTGTTACTGTTACTCGTGCAGTGAGGGACATCTAGTGGTCAATGAAACAATGTGCCTTTAAGATGAGTCATTAAAACACTCACCATAATGTTGCCTATAGAGGAACATATTCTTAGCCTGCTGTTTAAAAATACATTTCCAGCTAAAATCACGGTCTTCTAATCACCTCTGATCCTCCTCAGTTCCAAAAATGTTTTGTAATTCAAAATAAGCCTTCACATATTTTTAAAGGAAGAGTCGGAAGTCTTCGATTTAAAAGACATCTAACAGTTAAAATGACGCTAGCTGCTTTCAGTTGGAACATGCTGAACATGATTCTTTGATGGAAGCTGTGAGTGTCAATGATTGTGTCATAAATTCACTTATATATATACACTTTATGCCTTCTGTGTTCATGTGGCACTAACTTGTCTGTATCATTAAAGTGTTATCACTTGTGTTTTTGATTTCTTAATGGATTTTGTAAATGGTTTCTTTGAAACAATATTAACCCCTGATTTTGTGTTTAATCAACATAAATGAATCTAAGAAACAAAGACATTTATAGTGTTCTCTATCAATTTTTCTTACAGTTACACATGCATGGCAATCACTATCGGTTACATTTGGGCCGATATTAACCTCCAGTGTTGAAAAATGAAGCCAATACGAAGTGTGACAAACTGCAATTCCTTGAGTGTCCAGTTGAGGCTAGCTCCAAAAGACCTGGAAGTCTCAAACACACACACACCCTATGTGTTTCACTGGTGACTTTAAGACTAAACATATTTATAAGGTCAGACAAGAAGTGATGTTGGAATGTGTAGAATAACACCAACATCTTATCTTTTTTTCTCTCAAGAAGCTGCCTGTTCACATCTAAAATCATCAATAATTTGGCAATCAATTAGGTCATGTAGTCATTGTTGGTTTGATGATGTTAAAACAGCTCTTAAGAACCTAAAAGAATCCAGACTAATGTCCAATAGACAGCATTAAAATGTAGTTAAGGATGGACATGTTTGTTTCAAAAGTTCCAGTAGTTTATGTAGAATAAACACGATGGAGTTTGCTGATGTGATTGTTTTTCAGATGACACAATTTTGGCAACACCACAGTTTAATTCAAACCCTTTTATTATCCTGAATTGAATCACTTTTAGGTCATACTGGAAAAAATGACATGTGTGCCAATTTAGTTTTTTCTCTTTTTTTGAAAACATTTTCTCAGAAGACTGAGACACAGAGATAGAGAGATACAGAGATATTTATCTTTTAACCAAACTCATTATTAAAAATAATTTACCTTAAGATTAAAAACCACAAACTACTTTGGAGGTTATACAATAAGAGAAATAATATCTTCCAAAATGTAAGGTTACAAATCTGGACTATCATCAAGTGTCAGACACATAACTGAAGTGAAGCATGATGTGCAAAGGTTAAAAGTTAATGTCAAAAACTGTACACATGTTAAGTTTGTGCTCTATCAGTAAAGGAGTACGACTCAACAGTGAAGGTTAAAGGTCAACGGGGAAGAATCCAAGTTAGTGATCTGAAATATATTAATGTTTGCTCCCAAAGCCAATACGTGTATAAATCGTGTCTAACATAGATAAGACCACCTATAATGAACCTATGATTCAGTCAGATGAGATACAATAAATGAGAGGAATCCTTTTATCACAAAAGTCATTTTCTGTCAACATCCTGGTTTTAAATGTACGATGAATGATTTATACAAATGGACTTCTGTGTAAATCATCACATGCCACACATTATGTAATCACATGATGAACCCTTTGAATAGGTTAACCACGTTATTGGACTGAACTATGTTTGGAAAGGTTGGAGAGGCTGAAATGATAACATTATGCCAATGTTTCCCTTTCTGTATCAGCTGAGAATGTAAGTCTGGATGTCTATCTCACTCTTACCTAACAGGGAGTTTGTCCAGCTTCTTCGTACATGAGCCGATGTCCTTTGTTTAACCCTCAGCTATCTGCAGCAGTGGCTGTCTTGTACTTGTTGCTGCGGCTGACTCAGAAATGCATTTATTTTTAGATGGACATTACCAGCACAAGGCAAGGTGACAAGTTATACAATATTTTCCAGAACTGTTGTCTCTACTGGGGTTCTCTACTGTTTCTATTGGGTTTATTGTTCAACTGAGTTATTATTTTTTAAGTTTATTTATTCAGGAAAAACCTCATTGAGATTAAGACTCACTGGCCAAAAAGGCAGCAACACGTTTAAACAAAGTTACAGACAAACAACACGTACAAAATGACAAAACACTGTTCAACATATTCTGAGTCGCAGAGCGGAAAAGTCATTTGTCAAAGCGTCAACAATCTGTAGCATCTTCCTCAAAAACCTTCAACTATCTCTTGAAAAGAAAGATGACCAGCGTACACGGACCCGAATCCTGCTGCAGCAAATGGAGCGGCATACCTGAAACTGCTTTTCCCCCACTTCAAGGCACACTTTGCAGGAACAGATAGCGAGAATGCAAGCTTGCCATGTCACTGGATCACAGAGCACAGGTGGTCCAATCATTTTCAAATGAATACAATTACTCAAGTAGGGAAGCAGGTTAAGTATTGCCTTACAAAAAAGGAAATGACAGAGTGGTCAATGAAGACCAGCCAACTCCAGCATACAGAATACAATGATGAGTTAGGGACTTCAGATTTGTAATGCACCTCAATGCTCAATGGTAAACTGTATCCAAAGAATAAAGGCATTGACAAGATGCATGTAAAAATAACACGTAGCTGTAGTCGAATAAAGGCATACAAGTAGCAGAAACAAGTTTTTTTTTCAGCATAAGAAAAACAAGCTGCAACTTCAATTTCTTTATGAGCTGCTGAATATGAAGAGAAAATACAGCTAATCATCAATTAAGAATATATGGTAATTATAAGACAATTCAGACTCAATCACATCACCCTGAGAAGAACTTAAAGAAGGCAGAGCCCGTGTTTTTTTCTTTGAGCTTGTAAACATAATGAGTTATGTCTTATCAGGATTCCAATAAAGTATTAATTAATGAAAAATGTCATGTACTGTATCACAGACATTTTGTTATGGAAGGAGAGACTAATGCTGAGTATAGGCAAGGCAATACACAATAGTATCATCTGCATGAAAAATTGCGTGTAGGAACATTATGACTGATAGATGCTATAAAGTGTAAATCAAATAAAATGAAATAAATCAATAAAATAATATAAAATTCATAATAAAATTAAATTCAACCTACTGTGTTTTGAACACATGTTGTGGTTACTGTGATTCGGCTCACATTCTGTTATTCTTTGTATCTTAAATACTTTTAAGTGGCATTTATGTAGCCTACTTAAAGAAGGTGAAATACAAGTGCACACCTACCAACCAGTCATTGTTGCCTTTCAAAAGAATGTTCCGCTCTCTTGCTTTTAATTTGAAAGGTCACGTCGGATGATCCGCGCTTTACGGTCGCTGACTTGACGTCATTGCTTAAAAAGGGAAACCCTCTGTGCTGCTGTGGGAGTCTCCTTTAAAAAAATCTTGCCGCGTCACTGGGATGCGGTCGCCGGAGCCGGGCACCTCGCCTACCATCCCGCGTACCATCGCCGGTAGGCCATATTTTCTGATTCTACTGTACAGGTTGTTCTTGATCGTCGTTTTTCTGTGTGTGTATTTTGTTCTGCTAGAATCTGCCTTTAAATCCATGCAGCGCGATGTGACCACAGACCCGGTCAGCCTAATGACTCCTGACTGAGCCGCAGCTTATGACTTTCAGTGGTAACCTTTCTCACACAGAAATAGCGCCGCGAGGCTATAATTAGATGATTTAGTTTGTAAATATATGCCCTATTAATAATGCAGCTGCTGAAGAGGAGCAGCCGCTCACTTGGCAACAATGTTACGTTGAAGCCAACCTGCAGGTCACAGGACGTTTAAATAAGTGAGCACCAAAAGCAGCTGGTCTCATATTACAGGCTAGCACTGTCAAGGAGGAGACATGGTCATAAACAAAATTGAATGCATTCAGTCCATCCTGCCAGGAAGCTGCCCTTCAAAGCTAGACATCTGTATTAAATGCATACATCAGGTGTGGGTTCAGTATGGTTTTTTGTGTAGTTCTGTTACATGTTCATCATTTGAATTTAACTTTAACTCTCTGTTAGGCTATTATTAGCTGAAGGCATAAACCCAGTGCCCCCTGCTACACTGATGGCTATACTTGCACACAGCTTGTGCAAGACATTGGTAAAAACAGTATTCTGGTGTGACCTTCTAAAAACATTCCTTGTACTTGTAATAAGCGCCAAAACCTTTTTTGTATGACTGTTAATGCTGATCTTCAAATTAGCTACTCTTTACATTTAGCTTTGTTATACCTAGATAGTGTTTTAAATATGAGGTGTTAAACATTTAATTTTTAGCTTCATTAACTATTGCATTACACAATTACATAATAATTTTCACAGATTAATGTAAGTATATTTTAACATAATGTAGATAGATAGATAGATAGATAGATAGATAGATACTTTATTGATCCTGAGGGAAATTCAAAGCATCCAGTAGCAGGTTACAAAGACATGACATGAAACATTTGTTACAAATTAACCACAAAACCCTACGCCCCCTCCCTCCCATACATATATATTAATCCGGAAAAAAAGATTTAAAGAATACCCCGAGATGAATCAAACTTAAACTGTTGCAATTAAAAATAGACTTATACAAGAAATGTACATAACTCGTGCAGGGATAAAAATCTATGTGAGATTTAAACAAGAACCTATAAACAGTTGAGGGAAAAATATGTAATTAGACCTGAATATAAAAAAAAATTAAAAAAAAGTGTTGACCTTCTGAAGTTGTGTTGTTTATATATGTACAGCAATGTTTAAAAAGCAGATAGTGCAAAATGATCAAATAACAGGCAGTGCAAACATTCAATTAAGTAATTGAGGTGATCATTAAAGTGTCCAACTAGAGGCTGACTCTTGGGACAGCTGTGCAGATGGGAAATGGAAAAAGGAAGATTTAGTCCAAGTGTGTGTGCTTTCTCCCTGCCATAACCGTGAGGTGTTGTACAGACGTATGGCCAGGGGGACAAAAGAGTTCTTGAGTCTGTCTGTGGAACTGGATTGTGACAGCAGTCTGCCACTGAACACACTCCTCTGCCTGGTGAAGGTGCTGTGCAGAGGGTGGTGGGGTCCATTCTGCTCAGGGTTCCTTCTCTCTGCCACCGTCATTAGAGAGTCCAGCTCTGCGCCCCCCAACAGAGCCAGCCTTCCTCACCAGTCTGTCCAGCCCGTGCTGCGTCCCTCTTCTTGCTGCTTCCTCCCCCAGCACACCACAGCATAGAAGAGGACACTGGCCACCACGGACTGGTAAAACATCTGCAGCAGCTTTTTACAGATGTTGAAGGACCCCCAGCCTTCTCAGGAAGTACAGACGG